TTTTTTTTTAGCAAGAGACAGGGTTTCACTCTGTGGTGCATGATCATAGCTCACTGTACCCTTGAACTCCTGGGCTCAAGTGATCCTCTGCCTCTGCCTCCCAAGTAGCTAGGACTACAGGTACATACCACTAAGTCCAGCTCATTTTTTTTTTTTATTTCTTACAGAGATGGGAGTCTCACTATGTTACCCAGGCTGATCGCAAACTCCTGGTCTCAAGCAGTCCTCTCACAGCAACCTCCCAAAGTGCTGGGATTACAGGAGTGAGCCACCATGCCTGGCCCATCCTTTATTTCTTAAGGTTAAGTTCCTAGAAATGGAATTGCTGGGTCAAAGGGAACAAATATTTTCAAAGCTTTTGCTATGTTTGCCAAGTGCTGAAATGACCTCATTTCTTGATTTCTAAAAAGTTCCATATGCCTATTAAATTCCCACCCCTAAGTCAAGTGAGGGAAGACAATGAGGAAGACAAAACTTGTGAAGGCAGATTTTGTTAGAGAAAGGTGACGCTAAAATGGGAGGGGGCAGGGAGCAATGGAGAAGCAGCAGCAAATATGCTTCAAAACTCTTCCATGACCCTGACAGCTTGCCACGTATGTTACACAGAGTTAAACATAAAGTTACCCTTCAGCACAACGTGTTAACTTTCCACCTCTGAAACACCTACATCTGAGGATGACTTCTCTGACTTCTGGCTCACTCACAGCCAGTACCTGACATAGTCGCCACTCTTCTTATTCACACTGTAGTTTGTCAGGTGCATGAACTGGTTCCGAATGTTCTTGGCTCCTTGATCATATCGCACAGTTGCAAACCTGACAGAAAGGACATAGGTCAAATGCCAGGAACAGAGGTACAGGGAAATAGAGGCTAGAACCAAGGATCAACGAGGTAACAATAACAAAGGAGGGTGACAGCCTTATCTAACAAATATAATATTACCTTTAATTCAATCCTTAAAGCAATCTTATGAAGGAGGTAATATTATATCTAATTTTTAAAATAAATGCGTAAAGTAAATGTTACCTAGAAAGATACCTTGCCCAAGATCACACCAACTCCAAAACCCAGATTCTTAACCACGAGATGCTGTTTCTCTGATGTAGAATGTTAACATCAAAAGGAAGAACAAAAATTGGAAATACAGCTGTTCACAACCTGGAAACTGTGTGTAGGGTGCTGTGAATGATGGGGCGTTAGCTGAGAAACATCTACTGAGTACTCACATAGTGTCTAGTAGTATAGCATTAAATTCAAAATAAAATAAGCTGAAAGGAAAAGAATACAGCGTGGCAATATAAAGACTTAGACCTCACACCCATAAAAGAATAGAACAAATCTATTACAGCCATTTAAAAAGAACAGTAATGGCAGCACTGATGACAGACAAAGCAGAACAGCATAGTATAAGAGACTAATTCTTGAATTTGGAAGGAAGGCAAAAGACAAAGGGATTAAACATGGAGCCCACTGAAAACAGGGCAGCAATTTGATATCCGTGACTATTGTAAAAAGAAGACCAAAGTATAAAATATATACGCCTCTGAAGGAAGTTACCAGAGAAAGAGAAAACTTCCCAGCAATGTTCAGTAGCAATTAAAGGACACTCAAAGCAGTGGTTATGGTAAATACGAATCCCCATTTACACACCACTACAACCATATCACCCTTCACTGAAGTGGTTTTCCCAAGAGGCATATCCAAGTGTGTGAAAAAAAACTGGAAGGCCACAAGTTTCTTTTTATATGATTTATAAATTATTTACATATGCTTACCCAGACTATGAAGTCAACATGAATTTTTACCACATTAAAGGTCAGCATTTAAAAATTTTCCTCTTCTTTATTTCTTCTCACCCACCCACTATCTCCATTCCCTAACTCCCTGTACCAGAAATATACAACAGCCAAAGAAAAAAGTTATAAAATAAAAAAAACCAAATAAACAAACATTAAGCCAGGAAAAGGATGTGGACAAAGAGAAAATGTTGATTAGGACAAGGGTTTGATGAGCACTGTCTATACTAAAAAAGGACCTCAGACTTTCTAGAAACTTCCAGCAGTTATCACTTAATTTGTAGCCACATCAATCCCTGGTGAGTAAACCTGGCCTATACATCCCAATCTTCCTCTTACAGAGCTTCTCCAAGCAAGTAAAGATGGTCATTCTCTGAATTCTTATAAAATGCAAAGGGGGCCCTTGCTGGCCCCACAGAGCCTGCCTGGCTCACCCAGACATTACCTCACAAGGAGTGGCATTCCTCCTGCCATCCTCTCCCCAAAAAGAATAATGAGTTAGAGGGAGGGAGAAGGTTCTGCTTCAGAGAAAGAGGCTTTCATCACACCTAACTCCAAGTACCTGATCTAACTTGGTCAGCATGAAAAGCCTGACAGAAGCCTGTGGTAGGCTGGAATCTGGTGCCCAGCACATCTGTCATTCCTACATTCCTCTCTTTAAGGTGGCTGTACCTCTAAAAAATTCGTTTTTCTTCTTCATAATCTTCCTTATCACTGGAGCATTTTATTCTAAACCTTAGCAAGGACAAGATTACTAATGTCATAGATTGGACTTCTAGAGTATAAACAGCAGTAGGAAGTTAAGAATTAAAGAGACAAAAATATAAGTTAAGCTTAAAGGAAAAGTTCTCCCAAAGGGTGAAAGTGCAGCACTTTGTATTTCATTTGGCCCCACTGGGAATGCAGAAGACCGTGGAAGAATGGTAGGCATGTGTGCTGATCTTTCCTCTAAATCAGTAAGATCTTACGGCACTCACTAAAATCCATACTAAATAAGCCATAATCATGTCTGATCACCATTTCCTCTTCACTGTCTAGATCAGAGGTCACACTAGTCTTAGTTTTGACCTGCTAATCAAGGTCTGAATAACCTACAAAAGGTTTTTTTGTTTGTTTTTCTTTTAAATTTGAAATACTTGACCAACATTTAAAAATCAGACCTTCCTTCTTGCAGCTCTGTGGCACCCAGGGCCCACA